ACAGGGTTGTCAAGGATTGGGTATAAATTTCCACTTTTTTTGGACCGTCTTTGTCGTTTTTTTATAAATTAAATAATAAGTGGGATTTGAAGGTCTGTATACATATGAAGTTTGACTCAAAATAGGTAGCTTGGGCAATGATTTAAAAAAATTTGGGTTTGATCGACTGAATTTTTTGAAGTTGGAACGCTTGGTTGACTTTTGATAATATTGGAACTTCATACAGTATGACACTATGTTTCACTAGGTGCATAAAGAGTCGCTAGTTCAGAAATTAATGATTAATATTGTCTTTGGTAATAAATTATACAAATCGCATAAAGTGTTTATGGCATGCGGTCGCAGGGAAAAATCAATCAGTAATTAATTGTCAAAACTTCCCATGATCGAGAATATTAAAGTTTTCTCTGACGACAAACATCATTAAAAGCCGGAGAGAAGAGGAGAGAAGAAAAACTTTATTATCTGAATGAAAATGTCCTCGTGCGATTTTACATAATAAAAATTAAGGAACTAAACAAAAACAGTTCTATTGTACTAAAAGTTTACAAAAAAAATCCAATTAAAGGAGGACACCCTCGGTTCCACCTCAAGTGTTGGGTTTTATTTTAATTTTGGTTTATTTAAATTTATTGCTATATTTGTTTCCCACCGCAACAGCGCGCAATCTAACAACAACAAACACCAACAAATAACAAATTCATATAAATAACAAAGCTGCAGTATAAAAGAAAAATAATTAAAAAATTTAAATCTGGGTATTTTTGCGAGAAATAGGGAGGAACAGAAATACAATATCGCCTAAATAGCGTAATATTTTAATTGCAATTAATACTTTATTTTCCTGTTTATTTCAATATGATCTAGAGAGTGGGCAAACAGGTTTTTACTGTAAAATACCGAATGTACGGTTTTATTCATGTCAAGCAGTTTAGCTGCCACAACAGCAATTGCCCTAATTTCTCTCCTATTTTATCCAACTAATTGCTATTCGATTTGAACAGCCGGTTTGTTCCCTATTTATATTTAGTATACAGAGTCGAAAAGGTTGGGGTGATTTATTTAATGGACTGCACATCTGGAATATCCGAGACCGCTTGGCTATTGCAAGATGTTAAATCAATTGTTTATAAAAAAATTTAAAAAACGAGTGAAAATTTCGGAATGATATAATTTTAAGAAGTACTTCAGGGTTATAACCAAGGAAAGTTGAATGTTCTTTTCATTTCAGGGGTTTTATCCCAATTTTTAATATGTCATTGCTCCATTTGTTAAAAATTGAATAGATAAGTACAAAGTCTGTTAAAAAAAGCATTTGTAATAATATAAAAGTCAGTAACTTAAATGAACATCCCAGGAAAACTTAAAAATGCTTAAAAATTCATTGCTATTTAACTATTTGTATAAAAACGTTGGAAAATTTGTTTGCTTGATTTAAGAGTAGAATTAAACACAATCTATTTTTTATCGGGTAATAAAATAATTTTGATATAGGTGATAAGTCCAAACTTACATGTGATTTTGTTTTCCCAAAGTTTCTTAGTTTTTTTATCAATATTTTCGCAAGAGAAGTAGATTTTCTCCAGAAATAGTATTTTTAAGAAATCGGAGTAAGGAAAAATCTGTATTCGTTGAGTAGAGAAGCATATCCAAGCCAAACTTGCAAATTCCTTTGGCGAGCTCTTCCCGGTGGACAAAAATACTCTTGCGATTAGCTTTTTTTCTTTTTTAATTGTTGTGGGACAATTGCAGACTTGAATCGTTCTAAACATGTGCTGTTTGCAGTACAATTAACGGTTTGTCTAGCCTGAAAAAGCCAAAAATAATGTACACTCTTCCAATCCCATCAAATGCAGAACACTTCTTGGGAGATAATCCGGGATTTGGAGCTATGAACAGTTGGTCGGGATTTTCTTCTTTGAATGTTGTAAAGGAAGGCAATTTTCATCTTCAGTAATCAACCAAAAACGATGAAAGGGTAGGACAAAAACAAGGGTCAGTTGTGGGATTTCGTAACTTACTGGATTTTTTTTCCTTCTATTTTAATCAACGTTTGATCTATTCATATTATTCACCAAGTGCTGTGATTACCCCTGAATATATTCCAATAATTTTAATGATTTTACATTTCTTTATATAATTTTGATTTTTTGTAAGTCAAAAATTACAGTATTTTCGTTTAGTTTTAAACTTGTAAATTTCGAGTCTAACAAGCATTGCATTCACCATTGATTTTATAAATATATGGTTTATTTTATAATTATATCGGTGGAAATAGAAATTCATAACAATCTCTTCAAATTCACCTTTCCCCATCACACAAAGTTGGGAAAGTTTTCAAAGGCTAACTCTGCTTAAATTATACACATCGTATAAAGTCTGGATAGCAGACGGCCGAACGCAAAATCAAGCTGTAATTAATTGTCGAAACTTTCCATTGGGCTGGGAATAATTAAAGTTTTATCTGACGATAAACATCTTCGATAGCCATAGGCAAGAAAAACCGTGTTATCTGGATGAAAAATGGAGCGGACGATTTTCTAAAATAAAATCCACGAGTTAAATCAAATTAGTTCTGTTTTATCGTAGATTGAAATTAAAAATTCGCATTTATTGAAGAAATTATAATATAAAACAAGTATTTATTAAACTTTCTAAAACAGTCAACGGCTGACCAGGCCGATGTAAAATTTATTTCGTAATATTAAATATATACAATTTTCAGTATTTTAATTTTGTTCAAATTAAAATACTTGTGAAAATATGATATTACACACATTATCCATGTTTGAAGAGGGTTGCAATAGATGAAGTAGTAAAACGGCTTTGTAAAACTTGTCTCAAGATTTCACGTTATATCCGAGAAATTACTATAACTAATTTCTTAATGCATTACACGAGATACTCTTTTTAAAAACTTCTTAATTATTTTATATGATTATAAATTTGAAAAGTAAACAACGACTTGAAACAGAAATAGAGTAAACCCGCTGTGTCTGTGATGCGCAAGTGTTGCTTTACCGCGTTGTTCTGAAAGGCTAACTTAATATTTAATGATATAATAATAAAGTTTATAATATTAACATTTTTATAAATAAATATAACATACAAACTGTCAGCTTACTGTCCTCTGTGTCCTCGGTTTCCCCAAGAATTACACAAACTGAACATAAAACTATTAAACAGGCTTTTCATCATAAGCTCTACTTTCGACAACTGCAATAATAAATAGATTTTCAAATTCTTAAAACGCGTTAATTCATTTTTTTTTTTGAAAGGTAACCTATATTTTGTTTTTCAGATTTCAAGTTGATTTTATGAACAATGACGAAAACAATTTGAAAATCGGTTCAGAAATACGATAAGATACTGAGAAAAAATTCACCGCTATTTTTAATTGAAAAATGAATTTTCATGTATCTTTTGTAAGTAGTTTATACTACTAAAGCTCACTGGAATATTTTTTTTGGAGTTATTTATTAAGGAACCCGTACCGTTTTACCTGCCAACTTTTTATTTGCTTCATATATCATGTTCCAATTGTTTCATTTATATAAAGTTTGTTTTATTATGTTCACTACACTTTGTTATGCTGTTTATATTCATACGTTATTAATCTTAAGATATTTTTTTAAAGCCGAGAAATCGCACCGAATGTTGAACAACTGTCTTTTTTTTCTACGTTCCGTTTGTTTGTGAACAGTAAATTTAATTATGTTTTAAACACTAGACAATTTTTGTCGTTATTAAATGTTCCGTCTAACAAAATAGAAAACTTTGCTATGTTTAAACATTTCATTAGTTTTGACAAACGGAACGAAATTTCACCCGGATTAGATTTAAAAAATACTACCAAAAGATTACCTCATATTTTTACAAAGAATTATCGAGCCTAATGTTCTTACAAATGGGCATCTTTAAGCTAAACTTATAACCAGTTTGTACCTGCTTATAGCATCTTTGGCTTATTATTGATATTTTAAAACTTCCACGATCGTGTTTTCAATGTAAGGAAAAGAGTTAACGACCAGAGACCTCGAGATCTGGCAAATCTGGAAACCGAACAACTTTATCCAGTTCAAAGTTAAGATTTATTTATTTCATAAATCTTTATGAAAACAATAAACGGAGATGATGGCACAATTTTCCCATAGACTAAACCCCTTCAATATGTACTTTGAATGAAAACTCCATTTTCTTTTTAATCTATTCGTAGTTATCAGTTAGTTATTACTACTATTATATGTCTTTATTCTTTAATACATTTACAAAGTTTACAAATCGACAGTTAGTTATTAACTCATTCTAGTAACAAATGATTCAGAAAGTACTTTAGTTTAATTAAAAAATTATTAATTTTGTCAGATATGCTTTAATAATTAATTTAAAATATTTGAAAACAATAGCACCCAAATGGACATGATAGATTAAACTCGCACAACTTTCAAGTGTTGCGCAAGTGTAGGCCCATTACGCCGGCTGGAAACAAATAGTACCCTGATGTTTTAATTCCTTTACGAATAAGTTAAATACCCAAGTTACAAATTAGAAAAACTAAATAAAATTCTTTTGGCCTAAAACCATGGCGAAGTAATTTTTTGAAGTATCTGATATATTTTGTTATTTTTCTGATCCGTGTAAACATTATTTTTTTAGGTTGAGACTTGCAATTCGATACTCGCCTCGACATGTATCTTGTGTATACAATAATTCTGTGAATTGAAAAAAAAAATGTTACAGCATGTAATTATTATAAACTAAAATAAACAACCCCTTTTTTTTACTTACTTATAAACCTCTCGAAAGAAACTAGTTTCGCGGTATAATTAACTAAAAGTTGTTTAACATTTACGGCCGAACTTAGTTTACTCAGCATGAAATTATTTCATGAGTTTTTTAATATATTAAAAATATGAGAAAGTTTTCATAATTTGGAATAAATATGGATAACCTGTAGTTAAAAACATTTTCTGATACAAAATATCTAGATTTTTAAATACCTGGTTTGCCCTGACCATGGGATCGTGAAAAACTGTCGTTTTCCCTTTAGCCTCCCCTAGGAGCAATTCTTCCCTCATGCCCCAGGAATCATAGGGCATGGGAGGCCTCTTTTGTATCCTGACAAGGCCAACCTCTTCGTATGACAGCCTCAGAAGGCTCATACATGCTCTTTCTCTATCGAGCTCTTCTGAAAATTAAAAAAAAAATACATGAGTAAAATTAATCGATTTTAGTTTGTTATGTAAAATACCTTTGCTTTTTTCTTTAGAATCGTTTCGTTCCTGATGTCTATACACGATGTACTCGACTTCTGGGAGCCACCTCCCAACCACGACCCCCGGGCAAGAAGTGTTCGCTTTGGCCGAGAGGTCCTGGGCGATCTGAAACGACAAAACATAATGAAACGTGGTTGTTTCCTATTTTCTACGTTTAACGAAGAGGAAGAGGGAGGGAAAAAAACGGAAGAAATAACTGTCAAAAATAAGACCGAGATGAAAAATACAGCCGTGAAGAAAGAATTATACGCCTGGATATAACCTTGTTATTTTTAGAATTTACTACATCTGTTATTAATCTACTTTTCATCTAAATGGCTACTCTGAACACTTTAATATTTTAAGTAATAACTTATGTTTTTTAGATCGATAACAGTAAAACTGCAAAATATATACATCTTCATTATTAAAACCTTTTAAGTAAATTACTTTATTCATGATTTTTTCCGAGTAAAAAATGAGATTTTCTATTTTAAATTATTTATATTGTAACTAATCCTGCAACCAAGTTTTAACGGATTTCCTCGTGTTCGGATTCATACTGCTTGTGAAAACGAGGTGGAGCAATGGAAAAAAAGGGGCAACCGGCAACCTGCCACTGCTACTTGCCTAAACAGGACCCAGGCTCTTGAATGCAAACAGGATACGTTTTCGATATTAAAATGACAACTATGTAAGTCGATGAATAATGGATCTGAATTGAATTAAAATCCAATTGGGAAAACTTTTCTAACTTTTAAAAAAGCGCATTGCTATCTTTGGATGCGGTTCGTTGAAAAAAACCTACGACGTAAAAAAATCCGTTTATGCTAGAATTTTTGAATATATAAAATAGAATATTTATTATTAACCATAATTAGAAATACATAAAATAAATAATAATAATTAATTTATAATTAAATCAAAAATAAATTTCTTGTCAAGTTTGCACAGCGTTAGAGGCCAACATTTGCGCAAGACTGGTAGAACGTGCAGGTTTAGTCTACCCAACAAATTTTCTCTTTATTTTTTAAAACAGTACAATATTATAACGAAAATATAATGTTATATCTTTAATAAAATAATATAACAATTACTTTACTGACATTTATCGAAGATAACATTTTGTTTTTCTACTTGAGTCAAAAATTTTGAACAGATCAAATCTTTTATAACGTATTTAAGTAGTCTTAAAAAAATATTATTTACAAACACTCGTTTCTCGGAAACAGAGGGTTATAGAAAAAAATCCTATAGAAATCCTCTAGCAAGAAGAAATCTGTTCTATCGAAGAAAAGATAACAATATTATCAATTTATGATAATGTAGTTTTTTGAGGTAAAATAATTATTTTGCCTGATGTTTCCGTCCAAGAAAATGGACAATCGGATAGTATAACATAAAAAAAACTCTCTGATCTCTCTGGGAATTAGCGGCGGATTCGGTCGTACAAGAGATTCCAGGCACCCCCTTCCATCCTTTTGTCCCAAGTAAGAAATTTACGATTCTAGAGCGAAACTTCCCCGGCATCGATATCCCAGTAACAGCTCAAGACAATTCCCCGGTGAACATCTACGAAACTACGATCTACGTGCCTTTACAGGGCGACGTCGAGACCAATTTTCGGACAATGATTTATAACAAGAGTGAAAAAAAACCGTCTCTAGAAAAAAATGTACAAAAAAGTTCGTTATATTTTGTTTGTTAAACTTTTTTCATTATACCATGAAAAAACCTTTTAATAATAAGCGGCTATAATTTCAAACAACGTTATTTCTTATACATTAAATTCTGTACAAAGAAAAAGGCCATATCATAGAGTCAACAACTGTCAAGAAAAAAGGATCGGGCTTTCTATCTTTTATCAATTGATTAAGGACAACGTTCTACTCTAATTTTCTAATCACTGTCTGAAAAGGGTAAAGGTTATTTATTACAAATTAACCTTGAAATAAACATTTTTACTTCAAGATTAAATTATAAATGAAATAGTAAGATATGAAATATTTTTAAAAAAATCAATCGGTTGAATTTTGAATGACCCTCATGCCTAAATCGAGCGATAATTATTTGGAATAAGTTTAAGAGATAAATCCTTCTATTTCCCTTCTCTATCCAATACAAAGGAAATTAAGCCGAATAGGACGAGGTAATTGAAAGAAAAACAGTGGTAACTCTTCCTAAAAAACACGATCTTGGAATCGGTCCAATCCACCTCCTGCAGATTTTCCCCTGCGACCCCTCTCAGTCAGCCACGACAACCTACAATATAACGACCTTTTCCGACGAGCACACATTTCCATTTTACAAGGGCCTGGAAACATTCGTTAAGCAGTTTTATTACTCCTTTGGGTAAATTGCGACCGACATAAATGTACAAGGAAAAAAGCGAGGGATTTAGGACGCCCATGGTATACAATGCCCAATTCATTTAATGCTAATTTTTTGAATAAAAATGCTTAATAACAGCCAACAGACATGATTATTTATTATCGTTAGTGTTGTCGAGATTATTATTCAAATGCAGGCTTTAAACACTAAAATATTCATTATTCCGACTCATTTAAATATTATCCAACAAGGGTTTTCATCATTAGAAAAAAAGGTCATTTAATATTAGTATTAGTTAAGAAAATAATAAGCAAAACTCAGAGAATGTTTAAAATAAAACAATTTTTCAGTTGTATATAAGCATACAATAAACAGTGAGAATTGTGTAATCACGTTCTACAAAGGAGGATCAGAAAGAACTTTCTTGATAAAACTTCGGACAATTTAGATGTTTGGTTAAGTAGATTTCGAGTTAGGATTAAAGGTAGGTTAACTTAGGGTTAGTGCTATAGAAAACTTAGGTTGGGGTTAGAGTTAAAAAACGGTTAAATTTGGATAGGTAGAGTTAAAGCCTGATTTGGGGTTGGTTATTTTCAGGGAATGTGATATGTAATGTGAGGGGTGGTTTAGGGTTAGCAAATGCTTTAGGTTAAATTACTGGTGGGTTAAGGTTTGGTAGGACTAGGGTTACGATTAGTGGTGGTATACGTTAATGTTAGGATGCGGATTAGGGTTACGCTTAATGACGGTGTAGGTTTGGTTAAGGGTAGTAGTTGAGTTTTCTAGAATTTATGATGACATGAAAAATACTCTTTCCGATTGATAAAAGATGATAGACGGGAGAGGCCAAAGAAAAAGAAACAACCTTGGTTGATTGTTTTGTCTAGAGATGGACAATTACAATATTTAAAACAAAATCAGCTTACCTTTAAGGGAGAAATTCGATTTATTATGTCGTTTGTCTGAATACAAAAACTATTGTCTTTACTATCCATTATATTTAGTGGTCTATTGACTAAATTACTTCTTTCAATTAATTAATCGTTTTATGTAAGGTCTTGATTGAAATGAAAAAGTTAATGTCACGAGCGGGATTCGAACACGCGACCTTCGACACAATACGTTACGATAGCTCCAGTGGTTAGAGCAGCGGCGTATTAAGCCAAGGTCGTGCGTTCGAATCCCGCTAGTGACACTAATTTGTCATCTCAACATAAAACCTCAGATGAAAAGAATAATTAATTCTTTGGCCATGTCAATTATGGCCACTAAACAAATATGGCTACATTTTCATTAGACATTTCTTCTAAATGTATTTTTTATTTGTAGATTATGCTTCAATCAATTTTCTTTCTCTCTAAATAATTCACACTTTCACCTGATTATTAATTTAACATTGCCCTTTCTCCAAACCAAAAACATTTTCGTTCACAATCTGGCGTTTTTCGGGAGGAGGTAGGTCTAACTTTTTTTCCATGGGGTTGAAGAACGAATCCCCAGTTGACAATTCGGTTCGGCGCTTGGGCTGGGAGGAAATTCTGAACGATCCATTGTTCAATTACCAACACGTCGTTAACTTCTATCGAGCCCGAACAGTGGATATTCTCGTTTGTTTGAAACCGGATCGCGTTGCCTTTATTGCGAAATTTCCGGATAAAAATAAAAGTGAACGTTTTTGACAACGAGACTGAAATACAAATATCCTTTTAAGGGTTAAACCGCCTACGCCTTTTTGGTTGAATTGTTAAAATAAAAAAAGTGATAAAAAATCATGGTAAAACTGTAATAATTGCTGACTGAATAATTTTTGTTTTTATGTACTAAACCTTTCCACCCTTTTGAAATTAACTAATAAATACAAACACTGTAAAAGATCTGTTGATATATCAACACCATCTGCTGAAAAGAAGGACGATGTTTCTGAGAAAGTAGAAGGTGACAACAAATTACAAAACGGCACCTTTCACATTGAGGAGTTGAATGAAAAGGAGGAGAAACCTAAAGAACAGTCTGAAAATACAGAAGAGCTGCCACAAAATGAATGCGACGCGGATAAGAAATTAGAAACGACTAACAATAAGAAAAAAAAAGAAGTGGACTTTTCGATCATGATCATTTTCTAAGAAGGACAAATCTAAGCCTGCCATGGTAAAAGAGGAAACTGAAACAGTCGAACAGAAAGCGGAAAAAAGTCCGAGGACAAACTTGAAAATCCTGAAGAACTTAAGGCAGAACCAACCAAGCCAATGAAAGAGGATGAAAACTTGGATTCAGATCCTGCAATGCAATCCGATAGAAAAGAAGAACCCGACAATGTAACAAATAATGAAAGAAAAGATGAATCGGGCGATGAAAGCGTTTAACCAAATAATGAAAGAAAAGAAGATTCTGGCGTTGAAAGCTTTCAAGCAAGTAATGAACAAAAAATAATACTAGAAGAAAAATCAATTGAAGAAGAGTCATCCGAGACCAGAAGTGAGAAAACAATTGTAATAAAAACAAATAATATCTCTATCACCGAGATATCAGTATTGAAAACGGAATGTACCTAGGAAATAAACATGAAAATTGAAGGGTCATTAGCGCTCAACGAAAGTTTAGATCAAACAATGAAGCAGAGGAGATAAATGGTGCTGGTGAAAGTCTGGCCGACGATTTGTTTGATGATAACAATGAGGGAGTAAAAGAAAATGGTCTGCCCGATACCAAGGACAAAACAATCCAGGTATTAGGAGAGAGCCAAGTGCAACAAAATGGAGAAATTAATACAACAAAAGATGATTAGATAGATAAAA